CCCAAATTGTAGTGAGCTTTCTTAATCTGCTTTGAGAATAAATCTTCCCACAATAAAAGCAGCACTGAACAAGTATTTAAAGAAATCTTAAAGATGTAGAACACATGTCTATTTCTAGTTAGTATTTCCATATAGAGAGAGTGATTAAAAACCTCCAGCAGTTATTCAATCATTCTCTTATTTGGGTAATTAAAATCTCCTCATTGCTGTTGAAGTAAATAGCTCCCAGAATTGGATATAAATGGAGTGAGCTATTAGAGTTTATGGAAAACCTGAAGTTTTGATTGGTTTAGCCAAGAATACATGAGCTAAATATGTAGGTCAAATACCTCATGGTATGAGATGTTTCACTTTGAACCACTGTTCTCATAGGTGATTGTGCAGTCAGAAAACAATTAAATCCTACCACTTTAACATCTGTTAAACTCTTAGAGTTAAACTCTCAAACTTCTGTTACATAAAATTCCGTCCTGCTTACTTCATTCTCCTTGACTACATGTACTGGAGACTTTCCTAATTCTAGGCTGAGTACATGGCCACTTGTGAAGACTGATCCTCTCCAAGCTCCCATTCATATTTGCAAGTTATTTACAAATTCCTTTGTATTCATTCTCCTCTGGACACTAATGCTCCATGCTGAGGGAACAGAAAAGAGGAAGGGATGCCGCAGAAGTCTCCTTTTCTGATGACTCTGCAGTACACATCCCTAACTGTCTCTTTCTAATGGCACAGTAGACGCCATTAGGCTATCTCCAACACTAATTTGAGGTGGACTCTTAGAACTGGCTAGCTCTTTATACAGTATGACTTCTGGAAAGTGGATGCCAGTTCAGGTTCTAGGGAAAAGCCTAATCTGCTTACCTTCTGATGAACTGAACCATTCTGAGACCACCATTAATCAGGAAAGACTCCTGGATGGTGAGTAACTTTCTGACTGTTCAAGAAAAATCTGTAAGATGCAAGAGTGGTATTGATGTAGGACATGCTTGTTCAGAGAAGCCCTCTGTAAATGACTTTAATACTATTGAGTAGTTACGCATTTAGTTTTAGTGAATATGTTTTGACTTTATTAATTTCCTTGAAAGGAATATAAACTAATAGTAGTTTTCATATTGTCTTGTTTTAAATTTATTATCCTAGTGGAATGGGAAGTACTTGCTGAAAGACCATCGATTCATGTTAACTATACTTCTTCTATAGCTTCTGAAATACTGTAACTGCATAGCTTGTGTAAATCATTAGCTTGTTGTATTGTACTTAAGGCAGCTGGTGTTGCTTAACTGTATTCCATTAAGTTCGTATTTCCACCCTTGTTTTGGACATGTTAGAGCTTTGGAACAGAAGGGTATGCACACGGTTCTATGAATCAAATGTTTTTGTTCAGAAGGTGGAGATGCAGGCTACCTTTATGGGCCTCTAGAGCTAGTCTGGTTTAAACAGTCAACGGTGGAATTGCAACATAAATAGCAGCCACAAACTGTCACTAATTCTAAGCAAATATTTGCTTTTTCTTCTCCTTACCTTCAAGCCCTTTAAAGGACAAGGTTTTTATTATATCTTGAATTTTAAATGTGCAGCTCTATTAAAAGCATGTGCCATTGAGGGTTCAGTTGCTGAGGGTATGATTTAATACTCTGAAACTGCTTTATAATGACTGTTAACAATCCTAGCACAATACATTATGCATGGAATTTGTTAACGTTTTGCTAGTGTACTGCAGTTCTTACCGAGACATCTTTTAGCTTACATGGGCAGTTCATTTGAAGGAAAATCTTGGATTTGCACAGCCAGTGCAAATTGTACATATAGCCTAGACAGCATACTGTAAATAAGGAAATTCTAGTCACAAGAAATTTGGAAAATAAGGTAATAGAAAAAACAAGTGTGCAAGCTTCATAACATGCCTCTTCTAGTAGTCCTTCTAAGGCTTTTATGTAATCTCTGTAATGTGACTCTTAAGTGCTTTAGCTGAAAGAAGACTATCATCCCAGATGTCATGCAGAGGGACTTAATTTTCCCTTAATTAAAAATGTTCTTCTAAGCTTATGATACCTTGAAATCTTGTTTTGAAATACTGGGAAACAATAAAAACATACCTGAAAATCAGCTCGCAGGCTATTTACAGGAATGGCTTGGTCTCAGTGGCACATCCTTTTGAAAGATTTTGGAATTGTTGAAATAGTGTGGTGGGCAGAGGTCAGATGGATAGTAGTGCTGTAGCTGTCACAGATCAAGACAGTGTTAAGACATCTAGTTAATTGTAGCTGGCACTTCTACTCCCTTTGTTCTGGTGGTTGCAGGTTAATCATGTTAAATTTCATCTTCTCATTGTGTTTGCTTTTTCTCATTCATAGAGGTCCTGTAATAAAGGAGAGTCTGTACAGTCTCAGAAGGAAAATGACTTGCAAGTGAGTAAATAAATTTGCTTATTTCACAGAATTCTATAGATGATAGAGAAATATGGTGATCCTGCTTGTTCTAAACCAGTAGTTACTCCACCTGGTGTCTAGGCTGTTTCTAGAAACCGTAAACAGTAATGAAGAAAATAAATCTATTTGCTCATAGAAGTAACATTATAATGTGAGTGTCTGTACATAGTTTGGAAAGATTTAAACATTCCCCATTAACAAGAAACGCCCCCAATTCTACCCTAAATGGTTTCTTACCATTTCTAACATTGGTATCAGTACTGCTATTTCTAATATTAGGCTCCTCTTTCTTTAGTAGAGGAAGATCAGTACTCTGCTTTACCTAATGCCTATTTTATAATACGTTGATGAACTCTTCTGAGGAAAGTATATGGAACTGGAGAGAACTTCCTCTTGAACATGAAGTGTTTCTGATTAGCACTGTGCTTGGATCATCTGTGTTCTGCAAACTTTAAAGTTCTTGCATTTGGAACCATTTCTGCTCATGCAGCATAATGTTTAGCTGAGTGTAATTTTTCATAAAGTCGTCTGAACAGAATTTGGTAATTTAGATTTCTACCCTGGCAGTATGTTTTTCAGTAAGGGATAACATCACAGCATGTTAGCCAGATGCTTTGCTTGTTATGTACTATTGTTTTTCAGCTCTGTAATGGTTTTGGTAGTGATTAGGGAGAAGTACATTTTACTTGTTTAATAAGTGCTGCTTTTCTCCCCTTGTATTTCCTGCCTTCTGGGAATGCCATCTGAAACAGTTCAAGCATTTGGTTTTTTTCTAGTGAGTTGAAACTGGTTTTAAAATTTTTGTTGTTGAATGACTGCTTTTGAAGTTTTGTTGAACTTCCAGTTAAGTTTACTGGAACAGCTTCAATCAGTTGAACCAAGACTGAAGTGAAAAATGTACTGGTTTGATTCCTTGGTTTTCTTCAGAGATGAAAAATGGAGGTGGCTTGATTTCTCCCCCACCCCAATCCAAAAAAAAAAGTTCCTAGAGTTATAAAAGAAAACAAAAATCTAAACAAGCCCCACCCTGGTGCCAGCAGCTCATAGAAGTTTTGCAGTGCAGGAAGCAAGGCTTTGAACTTCAGAGCTGTCTTCGTTTGTTGCCTGAAAATAGTGATTCTATGCTGGTAGCTTATTGTTTTCTGCTATTAACCTCATAGTGCTGGAACTTCACTGTTGGATCAGTGTACTCAAGAATTCCTGTCAGAATGGATTTGTTAATTTTCTTGAGTCTAGGTAAAAATTGTAGGAAGGTTTGATTGGAGGAGTTAATGTCATCCTTTGGAGAGAAGAAACACCTCTGGGTAATCCCAAAATGTTCTGGATCACTAGCAAAAGCATTGTAGCTGTTCTGAGCTGCCTGGTGTTTGACAACTGTGACTAGAGATGGGATAGTCTTCTGTCAGCTCATAAGGTCTTTTAACAGAGATTATCTATGTTTTACCTTGGTTTTAGAATCATAGACTGGTTTGGGTTGGAAGGGACCTTAAAGATCATCTAGTTCCAACCCCCCTGCCATGGGGAGGGACACCTTCCACTAAAACAGGTTGCTCAAAGCTCCATCCAACCTGGCCTTGAACACTTCCAGGTTTTTGCTATAGTTAGGGGTAATTTTCCTCAAAATATTACTATTTCATGTATTTTATAGTGAGCTGTTTGTTGAAGCAAGAATAAAGCAGAAGCTTCAGTTCCAACTGAAGTATAGAAAAGCTTTTCATCTCTCCTTGCTGAATGGGAGTTGCGTACTGGAAAAGTCTTGTAAAAAGTGTTTATAATTCTTAAGTTTGAAATGCAACATTCAGCTTTAAGTATTCATTTAAAAGTGTGAGTGCTCAAATCTTCTCCAGAAGCTTGTTTTAAATACAAGTGCTCATGGTTACATGTTTGAAACTGATTAATATTGAGAGCTTCAGAGCTTAAAACAACAGGTTGTTGTCTTGGCGGTATAAGTATATTGCAAAGTATTTGAAGGCATTGAGATACATAATTTACTTAGTTATAATGCTTGATCCTTTAAAGTCATCAGGTGAACAATTAACTGAAGAGTTAGATACCTAGATTTGTTCGGTGTCCATATGACAATATTCTAATGTCCTTTAGTAGTTCATTTCCACATCTGTACTTGACAGTAGTGTATGGAGTGGAGATTTGGTAAAAGATCCATCAGGTATTATGAAGGAGACGCCTTTGTGCCTGAGATACATAGGTGGTATTATTCTAGAGCTCTCATTGGACTTATTCTCAAGTGACCATTCTGTTAGAGTAGAGGAAGTTCTTTTGGTGCTCTAAACTTTTTTGTCTTTTAAGAGTCAGGCACCAGAGCATTCAAACTTGAACATTCTTATGCTGCTGCTTTTAGATAATATTTGCCTGTACTTTTTAATCTTAGAATCATAGAATCGTTTAGGTTGGAAAAGACCTTTAAGATCATCAAGTCCAACTGTTAACCTAGACTGCCAAGTCCACCACTAAACCATGTCCCTAAGCACCACATCTACACGTTCTTTTAAATCCTCCAGAGATGGTGACTCAACCACTTCCCTGGGCAGCTTGTTCCAATGCGTGACAACCATCGAAGCAGATCTTCAATGGAGAGATGCAGCCATCCTTGTTATCACTGCTGACACAGAAGTTTACAAACTTGCATTCGTGTAGTTGTGGATTATCTAAAGGTTCTAAATTTTTAAGCATGTCTTAAAGGACTAGGGCTAGGCAGACACGTGGCGGAAGTAACCCAGAAGTGCACTGTTGAGTAATTGGAAATTTCACTATTTCTGGTTGTCACTTCTGATGCCTTAAGGGACATCTTAATGAAGAACATTTCTTTGGCACTTGCTGTTATCCAAGTATCATGAGTTGGTTTTTCAGTAAGATGTGAAAACAAGGAACTGACATCTTAATGGGAACAGCTAACAGGATTGCTGTAATCAGACTTTTAAAACACCCTGGTGGTGTACCAGGCACAGACAAATTCAATATCGGCTAATAATGGAGTAGACATTCAGTAACGTGTACTTAATTTGCTTTTTGGTGCTTGGCATTAGGCTTCAGAATTGAACTGAAAAGTTCAGATCTGTGGTGGTGAGGGCATGTGAAATGATTAAAAGTACATATTTTTGGTGTATTAGTTCTGCTTCAAGGAGTTGAGATGGAAAAACGGAGGACATGGGTGCAATACATTCATATGCAAATCATCTTAAACTCTCAATTGCTATTCTTGATGACTCTCTTACTTTTTATTGAAGTTAATGCTTCAGAACATAGTTACATGAGTCTTTCCTACACTTCAATATGAAATGGTAGAATTTCTTGAGAAGATGCCAGAATAATAAAGTGTGGACCAGTAATAAAAATAATTTATCAACGGAACTGCCCAGAGCGTACTCAAGAGTGGAACTTGTATAGAAAGAGTTATTTACTGTCACTGCAGTGACCACAGTAATGCAAAAGGCTCTGTAGTCTGAAATATCTGAGAGCTTTCTTAATTTTGTGCTCTTAATTCTTATGCTTTTAAGTGTCATGGGTCAGACTTTGAGATGCATTGCTCAAAAGTAGGCAGAGGCTTAGACCTCTAGGATTTGAGTACAGCTGGATTCTGGTTAACATAATTGCTAGAAGTAGTGATTTATACCATGGCTTCTGTGTTTACTTTCAGCTAATCTTACCCATCAAGAAAGCTTTAGTGATTGTGACTGTATTTTTGAGACGTGTTTCATATTTCTATTTATTTTTAAACATTCATATTAAAAAGCTGTCTGCTTGTGATTGTTATGGACTGAGTTTATTGATGTAAGGAAAACCGTGAAGAAAAGTTGTTGAAACTTGAGGTATGTTTGGAGGTAGAAAAGGAAGAATGTTTATTCACACACACATGCTCCTTAGCAGGAGTTTAAATTATTCTCTCTTTAAGAAAAAAAAAAAAGAGGGAAGACCTGAAATGTGCTTAATGGTAACAAATCCTAAGTCGTTCTTCTAAATGAAAAACTGGTTAGTTCAGTCGTTCACTTCATTCACTTGCATAGTTAAAATGTGCTTTTGTGACGCAGTGTTCCAAAGTGTGTTAAGGTAGCCAAGGATAATATTTATAGTTCCTGTGCTGTGCTTCAGTAGGATAAACTCCTTCAGGAAATGAATTTGCAGAGTTCCCACAGGTTAGGGAGGAGAGGGTGTTTTGGTTTTTGCATAGTTTTCCTTTGACCTGGCCCATCAACAGTACCTGTTAAGCAATACAGATTTTGCTCCCCAGCTTTAAACTTGAAAGCAAAATACTTGTGTTGCTCCCATGCTAAGTACAAGTTGTTATTAGTCAAGAAACTTTGGTTAGTAAAATGTTGAGTCTTCTTTTTAAAGCTAACCCTAAAATTTCTTACTTTGTAGCAGTTTAGCTATTGTGCACACATTGTTCATTTCTGTGCAAGCACCAACTAATGCTTTAATTTCTTTTTGTAGGGGGCAGAAGCCATGGTTCTGGAAAGTGTTATGTTTGCCATTCTTGCAGAGAGAGCTCTTGGCCCAAAGCTGTATGGAATCTTTCCACAAGGGCGACTGGAGGAATTCATTCCCGTAAGTCCTGTTCATGATTAGTTAGTGGGCTGCTGGTAGCTGTTTTAATTGATCATGACAAAAAGGTCTCTGGACTGCCCAGAAAAGCAGGGATGTGGGAATAGAATAGTTGGCAGCCTGTAGTAATTGCTAGCTGTAATTTGATACAGTTACAGTGGGTGTTGGAGAGCCCAATTATAGCTCTAGCCAGGGAGAGAGATCTAAAAACTCTTCAGCTGTAGCAGAGACTAATAAATGAAGATAAAAAGCCTGTTAGATACCAAACATAGCATTGGAAGCTATGGAGTAACACTCGTTTAACAGCAACAAGAGCAGATGCTTTTGATGTTCTTGAATATTTATGCTTCTACTTTGAAGATATTCTTAGTGTGAGATGTGATATTCCCCAGGTCTTGATCTAGAAGAGAATTGACTAAGTCATAAGTAAGCTAGGCTGGCTAACTTGGCTTTTTGAAAGACAGCAATCTTATAAGTTCATTTGGGATGAAAAAAGTGTATTGCTTGAATACTATGCTAGTATTTTATACTGTACTATATAGAGACTAATGCTAGTGTTTGTAATTAATCACACTTTTGTAATTAATCAATTAACTGTATTTTAAGAATACTATATTTTATTACAGAGCAGGAAACTAAGTACTGAAGAATTAAGCTTACCTGACATATCTGCTGAAATAGCTGAGAAGATGGCTAGATTTCATGGCATGAAAATGCCATTTAATAAAGAACCTAAGTGGCTTTTTGGAACAATGGAAAAGTAAGTTACGCAATACTTCAAAGTATGGAAAAAAGGTGACCTGTTGTAATTTTGATAAGCAGATCATTCTTCCTGAATGCCTGAGAGCACAAGCTCTCACTGTACCCAGAAACTGTTTCATAGTTACTTGAGCAACTTAAATTACCTTGAAGAATAGTAACATTTTCTTTAGTAACTCCTTTCTTTAAACTTTCTTGATTTTGGTTTAAATGGTATCTTAGTATGGGAAGATTAATATACTTATTGTCACAAATGCTGTACTATTGTCTCTATTTTTAACAGATATCTAAATCAAGTGCTGAGGATTAAATTTACCAGAGAATCCAGAACTAGAAAACTGAACAAACTCCTCAGTTACAATCTCCCTCAGGAAATGAAAAATCTAAGGTAGTCTTATTTTGTCTACCACTGTCTTCCAATTTGCACAGTTTCAGTATGAATTTGTATACTTGTTCAGAACCAGAGAATCCAGAACTAGAAAACTGAACAAACTCCTCAGTTACAATCTCCCTCAGGAAATGAAAAATCTAAGGTAGTCTTATTTTGTCTACCACACTGTCTTCATTTGCACAGTTTCAGTATGAATTTGTATACTTGTTCAAACACATACAGTATAATACATATATTCATTTTACTTTACAAGTTGGGGATTGTTTTTGGTTCTGTAACCAACCTGAGTCTCATATGACTACAAATTGAATACGATCAATTGCTGATCTGACTTGCTGATCGGTGAAGTCTAACTTCATTGTCCTGATCTTGGGCTCCTAATTGAGAAAGTAGGGTCTTACTAGAAATGAATAGCACTTCAAATTCTTACAACAAAATCCATTCTTTACTTGGAAGTGGAACTGAACTTAGTGATTTGTTACTTACAAGATCCTGTATTGCTGTTTTCTAGAGCTATGCTTGAAGCTACTTCATCACCAGTCGTATTTTGCCACAACGACTGTCAAGAAGGTAAGCTGCTAATATTTCATGACCTTGTTCAATGATGCGGTATTAAGTCTCTTCTGTCATTTGTTTGCTTTCTGAGAGGTAGTCATGTTATCAAGGTACTACTCTGGCAGCTGACCTGAAACAGCAGCCTGTGCACTCCCAGTGTGCAACAGTTGCAAAGCAAAATGCATTGGCTTCAGCAACCCTTCAGGCTAATTAAGAGAATGTCTAGTATCATAACTAGATTAAGCCAAGCACGTACACATGCTCTGATAGTACAGGTCAGCTGATGATTGGATCCTTGGGCGTTTTCTGTTAAGACCGTACCTTTCTTAGCTGTCTGCAATATACATGATCAGGGTAGGATATACTTTAGTCCTTTTAAAAGAAAGATACTGAAAAAGTACAGTGAATGGTGAAAATGGAGACTAGAGTAGTTTGACTCAGCAGTTCTTAGCTTGTACTGATGCGAAACATTAGGAAAACCTTATCCACCTTTTTTTAGTGCTCTCTCTCTGGGAGTCATGGAGGGAATGACAATTTTTCTGAGCCAGTTCTCTAAAGAGATGAAAAGGAGGGCAGTGCTGAAGGTGTTGGGTATGCTGTGTTTGTGCTCCCTGTCACCTGTACAGTGGGTAAGCTGGGCTGAGCTGGAAGGATGCTATACTAGGATCATATGCAGCTCTGTTTTTTTCTCAGGAGTCCCAGCCTTGTTAGCTAAGGCTGAGGAATTGGCCTGGAAGAGGATTGCCCTGGAGGATAGGCACATAAGGATAGGCAGCACGAGGGGAAAAAGCCACTGATCTGAGGTCTGAAGAGCTAGCTCAGTAGTGGTGGAGTTTGAGGTCTCATTGCTGATCTGGCAAGGTGCAGTACTGGAGGAGTCAGAACATGATAGGGCTGGGGCAAGCTTTGGAACCTAAATTTCCGGGGGGGGGTGGGGGGTGCAAAATACTGTGGTTGTTCTATTGGTGCAAAGATATGGCATAGAGAACAGATGTACCTGTGGAGAGGGGACAAACTATTGCAGAAATTGAAATTACTCTAAATTTATTTACTAGTTGGCACTTGACAGAGGCAGACTTGATGTCTTTCAGATGAAGTATAGTGACAAAGTGAACTGAAAGACAGATAAAGCAACCTCCCTGTTATAAAGGAAAAGGCTGAGCTTTTCTATAGGTACTGGTTATGCCACATACTAGAATAGCAAAGTGATCAGTCTGTGGCTTTCAGGCTACTGAAAAGTAATTCCTGTCCCAAGTGTTGTGTGATCAATGATAGTGCTATGCAGGTATGAGAGATGCTGCATAATTTAGATCTCAAGCTGTGGAAAGAAACAATTTGGCAAGGGCTGCTAAGGCTGACAGTGTCACCTGAGTTAGCTGCAAGCTAAACACTGGAGAAGCAGGACCCTTGGGAGAACAAATCTACCTCTGCCTGTACAGAAGAAAACTTTCTTGCTTTCAGCTTTGCAAGATTTATAGTATATATCTCAACTTCCAATGAGCTGGTATACAGCCAGTGCAACTTGGCTTTTCCTATCATTCTTCTGTGCGGATGTAAAGGATAACTGGGATTATCTGAACAATGTTTCTTAAGATAGAGTATTGCTTTTCTGTAATTTTCCTGGGACTTTACTGAATATGCTGTATTATCTTAAAATTTTCAGGTAATGTCTTGCTTCTGGAAGGCAGAGAGAATTCAGAAAACCAAAAGCTGATGCTCATTGACTTTGAATACAGCAGCTATAATTACCGGTAAATCACTTTTATTTTCTGTTCAGCAGGAAGGTGTATTACTTCCTACATGCTGCACTGCAAGTGCTGCACTGCTGATTACCTGTCTATTCTAGTGAATTGTGTTCTGCTCTATTAGTGGTGGACAGCAAATATACGTAGTTAAAACAGCTCTGGTCCCGATGGCGTTGAGTGTAGGCATACAGCAGAGTCAAAGTTGTTGGAGCTCCTTGGTTGTCCAGACTAGAGGGCTTGTTTATGCACAAATGGCTTCTTGCTTGCATGTCAAAATTTTTCTAGTGGGGAGATGAGGAGAATGGTAGATGGTGTACATATGTAGGGCAGGTTTGCTTTTGCATTTTTTTCTTCAGTCCTTTCGAATGGCTTTCTCATCTGTGCAGATGAGAGTAATCCTAGGTTTTTCACTGCATGGTTACACAAAATGCTTTCTGTTCTTACCTCAGTCATCTAGGACCTGTGTTTAAGGATGATCTAAGTGTGTGGAGTCATTGGGGATCATTAAACATTAGTATAGCTGGAACATAATGGAACCCTGAATTCCAATAATGTAGAAGTGGGATATGTTAAATACTTTCAGTACGACCTCTTTGCCTGCAATAATGCTAACGTTAGAGATGCATCTGACTTCATGCCGAGATGTAGTGCATAATCAAGTATTTTAACTGCCTCCATTGGTATAAAACTTGGTAGCAAAGTCTAGTATTTTCATGTAGCTGGTAGCTTTCATTTTTAACTGCCCATCTTTACTAATTGATTTTAATAACTTGCAAAAAAGTTGTGTTCTGGCCATCAATTCTCTATCTCCTGTAGTAAAACTGCAGTAAGTTCTAAGTAGCCTTGTGCTTTTAAACTTGATTGTAGGTTTGCTTAAGCAAAAACCAATTGCTAGAATGCAAATATTGAGGTACACAGTCTTTATCTCTTTTTCAGAGGATTTGACATTGGAAATCACTTCTGTGAATGGATGTATGATTACACGTATGAGAAGTACCCATTCTTTAAAGCTAGTGTTCTTAGATATCCTTCAAAGAAGCAACAGGTAGGCACATAAGACATAATTAATAAAATGCCAGTGTCCACCGTCTTCAAATCTTAACTCTCTTTTTACAAGTCTGTTTTGGACTTACTCTGTCCCAAGACCTTTCCTTCATGACTTCCTTAAATAAAACACTTTCTGTAATCCTGACTGCCTTTGCTTTAAAAAATCACAGAAACTTCATAATAGCTATTGAGGATAGAATATTTACTATGTGCCATGTAGCTATCCACCACAAAAAGTCCAGTAGTTGTGGACTGCAGCTGTGAAATTAATTGGCAGTAGCAAGATGTCGTATGTTGTCCTAATATTATGGTTTTCTTAAACCAGACTTCGAAGCAATTATTAGACCCACCTTAAAGCTAACTCCAGCACTGTTGATGTTTGGAAAAAGTAAATGACAACTTATTAAAAGGCCTGCCTAGTTCTGAAAGAAGCAAATATGTCTTGAGACAAAGAGTTGTAACTCTGTTTACTTGCCTTCCAGCTTCATTTTATCTCCAGTTACCTGTCTGCATTCCATGATGGCTTTGAAAATCTGAGCAATGAAGAGAAGTCCAAACTAGAAGAAGTAGTGTTGGTAGAAGTTAACAGGTAACTTGTTTTTCACAACTATATCTTGAAACTTCCACTGCAATACCTATACTTGTATACCTCAGTGGAGAAACTTCAGCCAAGAGAGATTCTAAGCTATTTATATGAAAAATCTGTCCATTGTAACCTTTAGATACGTGGTATACACTATTAGTGGAGTAAGAAAAATACTACTCCATGGGGAAGCTAATGGAATTATTTTTAGAATGTCATACTTGAAGAAAAGGTGTGTATATCCCCAAACTTACGGAATACTATTCTAACAGGACATTGAAATAAGGTGTTGTGACTTAGCTGGTAAACATAGCCTTGTAATTTCAGGTTTGCCCTTGCATCACACTTCTTCTGGGGTCTGTGGTCTATTATACAAGCAAAGATCTCGTCCATTGAGTTTGGTTACCTGGTAAGTTATTTTATCATAGTTTCATGTAACTAAAAATGTATACTCTATTAAGTGGTACGTTATCAGAAAGTAAATGAAATGGCTTCTCACAGCAACTAATATCTTCTAAGTGGAGTAAAACTACTTAAAATCAGTTTGTTACTCGTTTGTGCTCTTTCCTTATGAATGTAAAGAACATCTAAGATGATTGTAAAAACTTCAGAAATTCTTCACATTGTTACGTGGAGAGACTGTAGCCTTATGTGTCAGGCCTTGCAGTGGGATGATGCCTTGCAGTGAAGTAGTATTCTGCAACAAGAGATCCCGAGCAAGAGGGAAGCTAGCATGCAGTAAGTGTGAATTTGGAAATTGAGTAGTCAAAGTGCAACATGTAACAACATGTTGATATTCAGTGTGCAACAATATCAATGCCAGGTAGCTTGTTGTACTTAAGAAAGGGATGAGTTCAACTCTTGATACATGTTTAGTGTACTGTAAAGTGATATAACTTTCAGGTACAGTGAATATCCTGCAGGAAGTGTTGCAGAAGCCATCCTTTTTAGTGAAATCCTGACCTTTTTAGTTCCTGTTTTTTCTGACATGCTGGCAGCAGCTAATAGTGTTAGAGTTGGAGTAAGACTGGAGGAAATTTTAAAAGGTCAGAACACCTCTGGAGAGATTATCCTTCTCAAATAGAGCTAAGTAATGCATTGAGATGATGGATTAGGAAGGTAACACAGTTAATACCTTCGTTATGGTTCCCCATCCCAAATAAGAAAACTCAGCTGTGTTTACTGTATAGAGTACTGAATGTCCCTTATTTCTCCAGGAATATGCGTTATCCAGATTTGATGCATACTTCGATCAGAAGAGGAAGCTGAAGGTGTGAATGTGGGAGGAGTGGCCTGTTGGTTACTGTATGAAGAGGGCAGCTGGATGGAACTTACACTGTGCTTAGGCTACTGTATCTCTAACGAAGGTGTCACTGAATTCCAGTTCCTTGGGACGCAGGTGTACAGTACTGAAGACTGTATAAAAATGACTTGTTTACAGTTTCGTAAATACTTGGAATGAGATTGGGAGGCAAAAGTAAAATACAACAGTGCAATATCTTTAAATCTTTTTGATCTAGAAGGTATTTTATATTATGGGAGAAGCTTACAATTAAGTGTCAATACCACATGCGTCAGAGCAAACAGTGTTACTGTGAGTACATTTTCTAGGGGGGTGTTGGCATTATGGTTTATGTTGTAAGCAGAACAGTTGTAAAAGATGATTCATTGTATAGACACTGCCTCTTAATGGGAAGGAAAAGCGAAGGAGACAACTGTTAAACTGTGAAGTAGGCTTAAAATCTTACTGTGAGATTAAGTTCAACATGCCCCATGAACACTATCTTCAAAGCTGCTGATACGTTACACCACTTTAACCATAAAGCAACTAAACACATTGAAGTGGTATGCTTTAAAGTGTTATCTACATATACATGAATGTTTCTCTTAAGCTGGTGTGCCTGTGAAGTGAAGTATGAATGAACTTTGAACTGGACATTCTGAAGGAGTTTGTCTTGAACTGTTCATTCCATGTCCTTCAAGAACATGCTTTAGCCCAGCCTGGTTGTCTCTTAAAATGCTGTGTCCTGCACAGGGGGTTCTGCGGGCTGGCAGCACTGGGAAGAGTGCCTTGAATTGCTCTAGCAGCTCCCCGGATAACTGGATTGGCATTGATGATACTTGTAATTGGAGCCCATCTCTCTTCTTGTGTTGCCACAGTATATGGCTGTAAGAAATAGTAGAGCCAAAGACTGCGGAGAACACTTCAGGAAATTGCTGTTCTGCCCATGCAATGCTTACATGGCTTGGGAGGTGCTTTTCTTGCACCTTCAATTTTCATCATGTTCCAGCAATCCAGTAAAGTGGAGTGTCTTGTGGGGAACAATAACGTGTATATTGAAACTTGAGTATAATCTGTGTACATGTCATCTAAAGATTTCTTTAGATTTTTGGGAGCTTGTTTATTTTGGATGTTATTTGTTTGTGCTTTCTAACACACTGTATTATAAATAATAAACTTCTAAGTCTACCCTTTTTCACTTGTATAGCAAATACTGTTTTAAGCAGCTGAAAAAACGTGCAGCATTTCATGTACTGTATAGCATAACTTGTAAAAGCTGTCATTTTATTCTCGAGTATATAGAGAATCATTTTCCGTACACGCAATTATTAATACTTTATAATAAATATAAAGCACTTAAAAACACCATAGTTGATATTCTTAAGTCTTCGTTATATCTGCAGGATAAAATAGATGCTGTTTCTGGCCGTAATCTATGCTGGAAGTACTTTCTTGCTTACCTTCAAAGGCAGACTAATTTAAGCTTTAGGCTCAATGCTGTGGGGTGTACCTTCTACATAAATGTGTCTTTAGCATTCATTGTATAACTAAACGCTAATAGAAAGTGTGGGGAAGAAAGGTGGTTAAAGCAAGTGATGAAAAGTAGACTGAAGATCAGTTTAGTGATAGTTTTAGAGGTGGGAAAAGGTTTAGGTTTAAACACTTTACTGTATCTGTCTTGTTAACTACCCTAAAAACAAAGGTAAAAGTTACCAGCATATATTGAGTTTTGCTGGCACACCGGATGAAGTATTTGTAGTATGAATAGCTAGGTAATTTCTTCAGGCTACTGAAGGCTTCATTTAACAGGTACTATTGTACACAATAAACCCAGTGGGAATGGCAGTGGTAATGAAAGGGGTGGAAACAAACAGTTTAGAATGATGCGTTGCAGCTAGCTGAAAAGGACTGATATGTAATAGGTGTCTTGATTCTGTAGGAAGCCTTGTTTTATATTCCAAGGGTAAGTTCAAGTCCTCAAGAAGCCCATGGAGACTGTCCTCTGACTCATCCATTGCATTCCATGCTTCTCAGAACCAAAAAGGGAAGGCGACTCAGTCACAGTAGCGCTAACTGTAATAAAAGGTTGCATCAGAGGTGAAGCCCTTTCTTTAGAGTTGAGATGGCTTTTGTTAAACAAATTCTGAGAGGAAACTAAGCTGCCAAGTTCCCTGGCAAGACTGCTTCATGTAAGTCCCAGGACTGCAGTTGTACCCCAGCATTACTACTGTGATTTCTGAGGGTGAGGGGAAGGAAGGGCCCTGAAGGAAAGCAAAGCATGCTCCATCTTGTGCCTTTTGTAATGTAAATTCGTTTTAAAGAGGGTGGAATTCCCCCAGGTGTTGTGTGGTAGGCTTAGTGGGGACACAGGTAAGTCAAACCTAATGAGCAAAGAGCAATGCTTAGTCTCTTTCTGGTATGATTTTTTTTTTTTTGTAGATTTGCCTATTAAGGACAAGTTCTTTAAGTTTTCTTTGAGAACTTGCAGTAGACAAACAGGAACTGGAGCACAGTCTTCTCTTACTCACAGTCACTGTTAAAGCTGACTTACAAGCTGACCAAGCAGCTACTTAAATGTATTGGCACTTCTGTAATGGGATATTGTCTTGTGAAGCCATATTCATGAGACTTAGTATAAATGTAGTTAAACATTATGGTAAATCTGATTTGTTTTTTGTAAAGCCAATTTAAAACTACTGATTAATCCTCCTTTCAGTTCATTTGTAAATACAACTTGTGCTTGAGCTCTTTCTTGAAACTGCTGGGTTTTATTTCCACTGCGTGAATTCTTGTCTTAGCGTCCACGTTGCCTCACAAGTCACTGGTGAAAGGATCTGCTATTAACTGGTGAAAATGGGACTTTTGGTATAAGAGTTAAAAAAACAAACCCACAACAAAACAACCTTTTACTTTTAAAGGAAACTATCACTTGTCTAGCCAGACAGCTAGTCTCAGTGCCACTTTGAGGTGATTCATTGGGTAATCGGCATAGTCTAGGGTGTACCCCCATCACTCCTACAGCCATTTATATAAGACGAAAATCTGAATGCTCAGACTTAGGGAAAAATGTCCCACTACAGCTCATTAAGGATCTTAACCCTGCAAAGTTCAGCCTGTGCAGTCTAAGGACTGGGTAGATTTGTATTAAGGACAAGTTCTTTAAGTTTTCTTTGAGAACTTGCAGTAGACAAACAGGAACTGGAGCACAGTCTTCTCTTACTCATAGTCACTGTTAAAGCTGACTTACAAGCTGACCAAGCAGCTACTTAAATGTATTGGCACTTCTGTAATGGGATATTGTCTTGTGAAGCCATATTCATGAGACTTAGTATAAATGTAGTTAAACATTATGGTAAATCTGATTTGTTTTTTGTAAAGCCAATTTAAAACTACTGATTAATCCTCCTTTCAGTTCATTTGTAAATACAACTTGTGCTTGAGCTCTTTCTTGAAACTGCTGGGTTTTATTTCCACTGCGTGAATTCTTGTCTTAGCGTCCACGTTGCCTCACAAGTCACTGGTGAAAGGATCTGCTATTAACTGGTGAAAATGGGACTTTTGGTATAAGAGTTAAAAAAACAAACCCACAACAAAACAACCTTTTACTTTTAAAGGAAACTATCACTTGTCTAGCCAGACAGCTAGTCTCAGTGCCACTTTGAGGTGATTCATTGGGTAATCGGCATAGTCTAGGGTGTACCCCCATCACTCCTACAGCCATTTATATAAGACGAAAATCTGAATGCTCAGACTTAGGGAAAAATGTCCCACTACAGCTCATTAAGGATCTTAACCCTGCAAAGTTCAGCCTGTGCAGTCTAAGGACTGTATCAGATGTACTGCCTTCTCTCTTTAACTGAAAAAAAAAAAAGGTATTTCTGGTCTGAACTGGATACAATCTATTCATAAATTAAACATCTTTCATAGTGTGATGCCACTAAATAGAATGAGACCATTATATTTTTGGTGTTGCTGTTCTCTTGATAATTGATTAGGGAGAAAGTTTATTTCCAGCCCTACCCTCAGGGAACACACTCTGCAAGGAGCAACAACGGTGAAAAGCAAGAGCAGCCTTTGCTCTCAGTGTAACGTGACTCTTGGTCTTCCCACCAAATGCACAGTTATTTGCCGTAGTGGGAAGAAGTTGAGATTACCAATATTTTGACCAGTTTCTTTTTGAGAACTGTGTTGTTTTCTACTGCTAGGCTGCTTCATTAAGGGTCAGAAGCTATCTTGGAAAATCCCTGTTCCCCAGCACTGAAGATGCTAACAGGAAAAATTCACTATGGCTGTTTGGCATTCCTCTTTGAAGTGGCGTTGAATCGTGATAGTGTTCTGAAAAGCAATTACCTGAAAATGTAACTTTGCAGATCAATTCCCTCCCTTTGTCTGTGTGTCTCAAACTCTGCTAGTATCAATAAGAATTTCTGCTTTTTCCTCCCTATTAACTTGGCTGAGGTTGTGCTACAGCTTAAATGGAATGAGCTGGGTTTCACTCCCTTCAGATGGATGTAATTATTTATCCTAGCTGATTATGGCTGGGGAAACCCCTCAAGGGCACTGGGGCTTGCAGCCATGTTGTCCAGGGACCTAATTTGTCTTGCAGTTCACTTACTAGACATGATGGTGGGAAGGAAAGAACCTAGCTTAATTCTGCAAGAGTCTGTAGAACTTGGAACTAAAGAATGCATCCTCTGACTTGCACATAGAGAAGGAGAAAGCAAATAAATTAATTCCCAGAATGAAGAAAATTGACTGTCCTTAGCCCAAGTGCCAGCACCTCTGAACTTACGTATTCTGCTTTACAACTGCAATGCTGTGGGTTCCTGAGGTTCAGCTGATGAGTGATGCTGTGTTAAATCACAGTGACTGAATCTGCTGATGCCTCAAGATACCAGTTTGTCTTCTCTTCAGACCACATCTTCAGCAAGTCATCACAGCTTTTCAGGGTTAGTAAAATCACAAGTCCAGCAGCCAGAAGTCAACAGATCCTGCTGCTGTTTCTCCACCACAATTCAGCTATCCCAGCGAGATAGAGCTGGTGCAGGGAGCTGCCAGCAGCTGCCAGGCAGCACAGCACAGCCTTGCATTGTTTCAGTGGCTTACATAAAAGCAGGTAGGTGGAAGAAGCACTGTTTGCTGTGCCTAAGGCTTTCAAGAATTCAAATCCTCCCTTGAAATATCCTTGAGGCAGCCTTGGGTGAGCTCCCTCAACATGCAGGCAGGATTGTCTCGATGCCAGCCTGGGTCCGTGTGAAGCAGCAAATGGAGCATTTCACTGGAGATGAATAAATAGCCGTAATGGTTCTGGACTGAAATAAAATACAGCATAAACTTACAGGGCCCTGGCAGGGAGCAAAAAAGAGCTACTGTACTTGGTACCCAGGCAACAAAGCTGATCACTAGCAAACAGGCTACTTGTTTTTCCTAATGTGAAATTCACTTTTTCTGGCTTTCATTTTCAAAGTATGCAGAGCTCCTACTGACTCAGCATTAAATGCAGTTGTATTATAATGTGCAAGCAAAGTTCTGTGTTTGTGTATATATATACATATGATTTGTATTTACCAGTCTCATTAAATAGGGATCAGCCAATAAGGTCTGAA